TACAGCTGAGCACCCCAGGCCCTGCTCGCTCATCAGGCCCTTCCAGCTTCCTCTTGGATGGACACCAGTTTTTTTGTCCATCCATTCATCCTATCGGGTGGTTTGCACTTTCCTGGTGAAATTTAGATCCATTTACAATTCTGCATACTAGTCCTTGGCCTTTGTAGTTATCCTCTGTTCTTAGACACTGAGCCAAAGCATGGAAGAGTTTGGCAATAAACCATACTGCTTCTATAAAGAGCAGAGCCACAGGTGCCACCTGGATGGGTTGTTGGGGGAGGGGGTCAGAGAGGTGGGGTGGGATGTGGGACGGGGATGGGGGCAGTTCAAGAGTTGGCTGTCCTTCTCTGCACCTTTCCTTAAGGACAGACATCGATAACACCAGTGTTTTTCCTATTAAACCTCATAACTTTTTCTGTGCACATCTTGAACATTTTTGTTCTGTGTACTTCTAGACTGCGTGGTCACTCCTGGACCCAAGTGTTCACTTTTAAACTGGCCTTTGCTGTGTGTGAGCAAGCCATCACGGTGGATACACTTACCTCAAAGCAGCCTATCCAGTTCTCAGATGTTCAAATAGGTTTCTAATTGATCATCTTGAACTACTCAACTAGTGTCCTTAGCTGATTTACATCAAGAAGATACTGGCTGAACACTTACCATAGGCCAGGCAGGGTAAGTGCCTATTGAATGCCTAGGGGAAAAACACCCTTGCAGTCCGGAACTTGTGGGAGGAGGCATCTAGACTGGATCCTAGACTGGATCTATCTTCTGCCTTCATCCTGCATTGCCCACGGCTTCCAGAGCCACCCTGAGGGGTGGGCAGGGCCAGGCTCCAGCGCTGGGCTGATATTTCACAGCTTAGTCTGCCACACAGAATGCATTGCTGCTAGTTCCCTTGGTTAAAAGACCAAATTACAGCCACCTGGAGATTTTAATTGGCTTTGCTTCCCTGGCTTCCCAGGTGGCTCAGTGGTAGAGCGCTTACCTTGCATGCCTGAGGCCCTGGGTTCAATTCCTCAGCACCACATAAGCAAAAAGCTGGAAGTGGCTCTGTGGCTCAAGTGGTAAAGCGCTAGCCTTGAGCTGAAGAGCTGAGGGACAGCACCCAGGCCCAGAGTTCAGGCCCCACGACCGGACCCCTTCCCTCCCCCAAAAAAGATCTAAACAAAATAAAGAGAAACGCAAGTAGAAAGACCAGAGCCAGCCAGAGCCGTGGCGAGGGCAGCCCTCCACTGGAAGAGGACCTCTGGTGACCTTACAAGCTGCGTGGCACACAGCCTGAAGACAGAGTGCTGCCTGAGAAGGCGATCAAGTAAACTGTTTTAAAAGCTGTCCATCATTTCCAAGTTCTGGTCCACCCACAGTGGAGGCGGGAAACAGCTCACCAGTTACCTGCCGCCACCTGTTTCCCTGCCAGGATTAAGCGGCGGGAGCTCATTATCGCGCTGATGGCCGGCCCGGGTCAGTGTGCTGCCAGAGTAAAGTTAGCACAGGCGGCAACTCCATCCTGACTTTTAGCTTAATCGGTGGGGCCTAGTATAGGAGTTAATTCAAAATGCTGACGTGTGTGTGTGTGCGCGCGCGTGCGCGGGCGCAAGTGTGCACGTTATGTGTCAGTCCCCAGAAGTTGGGGCCTGGGCGCTGTCCCTGGGCTCTTTGGCTCACGGCTGGCGCTCTACCATTTGAGGCACAGCTCCACTCCCAGTGTTGCGTTATTAACTGGAGATCAGGGTTCTGAGGACTCTCCTGCCCTGGCTGGCTGTGGAACACGAACAGACCTCCAGCAAAGCCAGGCCCACTGGCCTACAGGCCACAGACCCACCGGCCCACAGACCCCCAGACCCCAGGCCCACAGACCCCCAGACCCCCAGGCCCACAGACCCACCGGCCCACAGACCCCCAGACCCACAGGCCCACAGACCCACAGACCCACAGACTCACCAGCTCACAGGCCCACCGGCCCACCGGCCCACAGGCCCACAGGCCCACAGACCTACAGACCCACAGACCCACCGGCTCACAGGCCCACAGGCCCACAGACCCCAGACCTATAGACCCCAGACCTACAGACACACAGACCTACAGATCCCAGACCCCAGACCTACAGACCCATAGACCACAGACCCACAGGCCCACAGACCCCAGACCTACAGACACACAGACCTACAGACCCCAGACCTACAGAACACAGACCTACAGAACACAGACCCACATAACCCCAGACACACAGACCCCAGACCTACAGACCCATAGACCACAGACCCACAGGCCTACAGACCCCAGACCCCAGACCTACAGACCCATAGACCACAGACCTACAGACCCCAGACCTACAGACCCCAGACCTACAGACCCCAGACCCACAGACCCCAGACCTACAGACCCATAGACCCCAGACCCACAGACCCCAGACCTACAGACCCATAGACCCCAGACCCATAGACCCCAGACCCACAGACCCCAGACCTACAGACCCATAGACCCCAGACCACAGACCTACAGACCCACAGACCTACAGACCCCAGACCCACAGACCTACAGACCCCAGACCCACAGACCCCAGACCCACAGACCCACAGACCCACAGACCCCAGACCCCAGACCCACAGACCCCAGACCCCAGACCCATAGACCACAGACCCCTGACCCACAGACCTACAGACCTACAGACCCCAGACCCACAGACCCCAGACCCACAGACCCACAGACCCCAGACCCACAGACCCCAGACCCCAGACCCACAGACCCCAGACCCCAGACCCACAGCCCCACAGCCCCACAGACCTACAGACCCCAGACCCACAGACCCCAGACCCACAGACCCCAGACCCCAGACCCACAGACCCCAGACCCCAGACCCACAGACCACAGACCCCAGACCCACAGACCTACAGACCCCAGACCCACAGACCCCAGACCCACAGACCCCAGACCTACAGACCCCAGACCTACAGACCCACAGACCCCAGACCCACAGACCCACAGACCTACAGACCCCAGACCCACAGACCCCAGACCCACAGACCCACAGACCCCAGACCTACAGACCCCAGACCTACAGACCCACAGACCCACAGACCCCAGACCTACAGACCCCAGACCTACAGACCCCAGACCCACAGACCCACAGACCCCAGACCCACAGACCCCAGACCCCAGACCCCAGACCCCAGACCCACAGACCTACAGACCCCAGACTCACAGACCCCAGACCCACAGACCCATAGACCCCAGACCTACAGACCCCAGACCCCAGACCCACAGACCACAGACCACAGACCAGACCCACAGACCCCAGACCTACAGACCCACAGACCCCAGACCCCAGACCACAGACCCACAGACCCCAGACCCCAGACCACAGACCCACAGACCCACAGACCCCAGACCCCAGACCCACAGACCCCAGACCCACAGACCCCAGACCCCAGACCCACAGACCACAGACCCACAGACCCCAGACCCGCAGACCCCAGACCCCAGACCCACAGACCCACAGACCCCAGACCCACAGACCCACAGACCCACAGACCCACAGACCACAGACCTACAGACCCCAGACCCACAGACCCGCAGACCCCAGACCCCAGACCCACAGACCACAGACCCACAGACCCACAGACCCACAGACCACAGACCCCAGACCCCAGACCCCAGACCCACAGACCACAGACCCACAGACCCCAGACCTACAGACCCACAGACCTACAGACCCACAGACCCCAGACCTACAGACCCCAGACCCACAGACCCACAGACCCCAGACCCACAGACCCCAGACCCCAGACCCACAGACCCCAGACCCCAGACCCACAGACCTACAGACCCCAGACTCACAGACCCCAGACCCCAGACCCACAGACCACAGACCCCAGACCCACAGACCCACAGACCCACAGACCCCAGACCCACAGACCCCAGGCCCACAGACCCATAGACCCCAGACCTACAGACCCCAGACCCACAGACCACAGACCACAGACCAGACCCACAGACCCCAGACCTACAGACCCACAGACCCCAGACCACAGACCCACAGACCCCAGACCCCAGACCCCAGACCACAGACCACAGACCCACAGACCCCAGACCCACAGACCTACAGACCCCAGACCCACAGACCACAGACCCACAGACCCCAGACCCACAGACCCCAGACCCACAGACCCACAGACCCCAGACCCACAGACCCCAGACCCACAGACCCACAGACCCACAGACCCCAGACCCCAGACCCACAGACCCCAGACCCACAGACCCCAGACCCACAGACCCACAGACCCCAGACCCACAGACCCGCAGACCCCAGACCCCAGACCCACAGACCCACAGACCCACAGACCCCAGACCCACAGACCCGCAGACCCCAGACCCCAGACCCACAGACCACAGACCACAGACCCACAGACCCACAGACCCCAGACCCACAGACCCCAGACCCCAGACCCACAGACCCCAGACCCCAGACCCACAGACCACAGACCACAGACCCACAGACCCACAGACCCACAGACCCCAGACCTACAGACCCCAGACCCACAGACCCACAGACCCCAGACCCCAGACCCACAGACCCCAGACCCACAGACCCCAGACCCACCGGCGGCCCCGCCGCGCCCGGTGACCTTCTACCGGTCACCTCTTCATGAAGCCATGCCTGGCTGCGAGGCCCAGGGCCGGGCGGGCGGGCGCGGCGGCGGCCCGCAGAGCGGCTCCCCCGACGCTTCGGCCTGCGCGCGTGACGGAGCGCGGGAGGCGGAGCCTCCACTGTTTACACCACGAGGCCGACCCGCCCGCCACGCCCTCCGCGCACGCGCCTCAGTCCCCGCCCCGCGCACGCGCCGCACGCGCCACACGCGCCCCTCGGCTCTCGGGCCCGCCCTCGCCGCTCGAGCCCCGCCCTACAGCCAATGGGCGACGCCGCCCGTGCACGTCGGCCCGCTCCGCCCCGCCCCGCGCACCTCCTCGCCTCGCGCGGCCTCCGCTCCGTGCAGAGCTGCAGTCGGCGCCGCGCCGCGCCGCTTTCCGGACCTCCCCCGAGGCCTAGCTGCAGTCGGGCGCGGGGCGCGCCGCCGCCGGCCTTCGGCGCCATGTCGGAGAGCGGGGCTCCAGGGCCGCAGGAGGAGAACCTACAGGGTGAGGGCGCGGACGGGGCGCCGCGGGCCGGCGGGACCGCGCCCGCGTCGGCGGGGCTGGGAGCCGCCGGGCTCACGCGGTGTTAGCCCGCGCGCCGGCCCCGAGGGGTCCCCGGGTGGGCCGGCTCGCCGCGGGCCTGCGCCTTCCGCCGGGCGCCGGCGTGGGGGCCGGGCGGCTGCAGCCGCGGGGACGGGCGGTCTCGGGCCGGGAGCTCTGCGTGAGGCTTTTCCCGAAGCCCGACCCCGGGCGCTGTGCGCTCTCCGCCGGGCGGCTCTCACCGGGCTCGAGTTCCGGCCGGCGCGCGCATGGGACCCGGGGGGGGGGGGGGCGGTGTGGCTGGAGGGGCGGTGCGCGTGCACGCTGGCGGGGGCCCGGTGTGGCTGGGGGGTGGTGGTGCGCGTGCACGCGGCCGGGTGTCCCGGTGTGGCTGGGGGCGGTACGCGTGCACGCGGGCCCGGTGTGGCTGGAGGGGCCGTGCGCGTGCACGCGGGCGGGGGTCCCGGTGTGGCTGGAGGGGGCGTGCGCGTGCACGCGGGCGGGGGTCCCGGTGTGGCTGGAGGGGGCCGTGCGCGGCTGGGGGTCTGGCGCGCGTGCACGCGGCTGGAGGGGCCCGCCGTGGCTGGGGGTCTGGCGCGCGTGCACGCGGCTGGAGGGGCCCGCTGTGGCTGGGGGTCTGGCGCGCGTGCACGCGGCTGGAGGGGCCCCGCTGTGGCTGGGGGTCTGGCGCGCGTGCGCGCGCCCGGCCACGCCTCCAGTCTGCTTGCTGAGTCACGCACGGCCGGGCGGGCGCCCCGAGCGCGGAGGTCCCGAGGCTTTGCCCACTCTATAAAAAGGCGCTTACACCGCGGGACCTCGCGGGGGTTTGGGTCGCGCCCGGCGGACGTGCGGCCCGGCGCGGGCGCGGGCGGTCACCCGAGTCACGTGGGCCCGCCGCGCCCCGGGACACGTGAGCCCCGGCACCTCCTCCGCGTTCCTGGGAGACCTCACCGGCGGGACTGCGCGCTCCGCACCCCCCGGGTCTCCTGGGGGTGACGGCCGGACCCCCACCGTGCCCCGCCCCACCCCCCTCCCCGCGCCCCACCCCCCCTCCCCGCGCCCCACCCCCCCTCCCCGCGCCCGCCACCCTCCCCGCGCCACCCCCCTCCCCGCGCCCCACCCCCCCTCCCCGCGCCCCCCCCCCCCCTCCCCGCGCCCCCCCCCCCCCGCGCCCGCCACCCTCCCCGCGCCGCCCCCTCCCCGCGCCACCCCCTCCCCACGCCCGCCACCCTCCCCGCGCCGCCCCCTCCCCGCGCCCCATCCCCCCTCCCCGCGCCACCCCCTCCCCGCGCCCGCCACCCTCCCCGCGCCGCCCCCTCCCCGCGCCCCATCCCCCCTCCCCGCGCCCCACCCCCCCTCCCCGCGCCCCCCCCCCCGCGCCCCACCCCCCCTCCCCGCGCCCCACCCCCCCTCCCCGCGCCACCCCCTCCCCGCGCCCGCCACCCTCCCCGCGCCGCCCCCTCCCCGCGCCCCATCCCCCCTCCCCGCGCCCCACCCCCCCTCCCCGCGCCCGCCACCCTCCCCGCGCCTCACCCCCCTCCCCGCGCCCGCCCCCCTCCCCGCGCCCCACCTCCCCTCCCCGCGCCCGCCCCCCTCCCCGCGCCCGCCCCCCTCCCCGCGCCCCCCCTTCCCCGCGCCCGCCAACCTCCTCCACCCCCCACCCGCTCTAGCTCGCTGCTCTCTGGCGAGCTTCTGGTAAATGCAGAAGCCAGGGAGGGAGGCCCTCAGTTCCAGAAGCTTCCACCTTCTGAGCCCTGCCTGTCGCTGCGGAGCCTGTTCGGTGGCTGCGAGGTGGCAGATATGGTTGTGCCTTTGGAGCACTGCAGTGTCAGCATCGCTGTAATTTAGGGCGCGGGTTTCCCACGTCCGTGATGTGGCCGAAGCTGCCAGATGGAGGAATAAGACTGACAGCAGTTAAGGCACAAAACCGGGGGCTCTGTGTCCAGTACCAGGGACACTTGGATCTTGGGGGACAAAGGCACACTTCAGGACACCCCCTGGCAACGGGGAAGTGGAGGTGTGAGCTCGTGTTCTTAGAACCTCTAGTAGACCTGGCTGACCGCAAGGCTGTCATTCTCTCCCAGCCCACCCGGGTCACTGAAGTTTAAGAAGTTCCCCGAAGCCCCCTTCTTGGGAGAGGAGCCTGTGAGTGTGACGGGGTCGAGCAGCCCCGAGCCTCTTCCGCAGGAAGCCAGCCCTCTCTGCCCACCGCCTAGGGGATGAGGAAACTAGGCCTCTGCTCAGCGGCTTGGCGTCATCTCCAGCAGTGCTTTGCTTCCAGGGGGTGTGGCTGCTTCTGGAGAGGGAGGGAGCCCCCAGGTGGTTCTGTCCCCCAGACATGGGGGGAGGGGTCAGCCAGGGTGTGGCAGCTGGGTCCTGCCACTTAACTCCCACAGGCTAAGTTCCTTCAGTCTGGGGGGGGGGGTGGTCTCTGTTGTAGGCCCTACTAGTGCCTGGAGGACTTGGATGCAGAGCCGTGTGGCTGGGGGTCACTGGAGGTCACTGTTGTAAGCACCCAGAGGCTGTACGTAGTTGACATTTTATTTTTTAACGAGATGAGAGGGAGAAAGGTGAGAATGAAGGAATGGGTTAAGACTTTAAAAACTGATTGGTGTGGTGGCACAGAGGTTGAATTCCAGGGTGAGACCCTGTCTTGAAAAGTTGTATTTGTCTAAAGTCAGTCTATTAGTGACTTTTTGTAATATTTAAATATCAGTAGGTAGATTTTGCTCGTATAACCTCACCTATATTTAGAAGGTAGTTAAAATCAACTTGATGTGAATCTTGGTGTGGCAAGTATAAATGAGAAGGGGGGAAAGCCAGCCCAGTGGCGATTCAGGAGGCTGAGATGTGAGGATCAGGGTTTGAAGCCAGACTGGCAGATAAATCTAAGAGACTCATCTGCCAGCAAAAAGCCAGAAGTGGAGGTATTCCTCAAGTGGTAGAGCACCAGAATTGAGAGAAGAAGCCAAGTGAGAATGTGAGGCCCGAGTTCCAGCCCCAGCCAGACACACATGTACGCGTGTGTGCAGTAGGGTACAGGGGTCAGAAGTGCCCCCAGTCTTTGTTAGGCTTAGGTATGTTTACGTTTTCAGGGGTTGTTAAGTCTTAACCCAAATCTTTTTTTGCTGAAAAGTTGGCTAATTGCAGAACACAGGCGGTAGCAGCGTCAGATTTCTTCATTTTCCAGGAAGTGGAGTTTCTGGCCAGTGGTGAGCCCTCACTGCTCTAGTGGAGCGTGGGGCCCCCCGGCCTTTCACTGCAGCCCTTCCAGAGCCCCTCCCCCTTCCCCAAGCTGCTCACATCTCCACAGTGGTTTTGAGGAGCATAACTAGGATTTGAGTTGGTTCCCTCTGAAGTTCATAGATGTAGTCAGTGCAGCAGTGTCTGGACACAGTGGTCCCTGTGTAGCCTGAGATGCCTCTGTGTAATGAGCAGACACTGGTCTTTGTCCTTAGTTCCTGGCAGAGCCCCTCACGGTCCCTTTGGAATATGTTAATGTTTATGCTGGTCAGGTAACTTGGGGCCCTAGGATAGAGAACTTCACACTTGGGGCTAGTCACCAGTTTATAGAAACTCAGGCTGCCAGGGAGAGGCCAGAGGTTGGGTTATTTTGTGACACAAGAAAAGACTTGGAGCCTCAAGTTCATTGGTAATTAGAAAGTTAACAAGCTTGAGTTCTGTGAGTTTCAACAGATGACTGGATTTGGGGAGAGGGTGTGTGAAAAACCCTACATTTTATAGCCTAAGTATGGTGGGCCAGGCACCCTGGCCAGCCAGCTGGTGTGGGTGTGCAGGCTTGTGAGAGTCCGGTCTGACTGACACCGATTTAGGGGGTGTAGTGCCAGAATTATTTGGACAGTCGGGACACCCAGTTGCTTTTGGTGAGTGGGTTGTTGGCTGGGAATTTGCACATTTGCTGCAGGAATGGAAGAAGACAACACAGCCTCCACCTCCAGTTATGTCACCTGACAGGTCCAGGCCCAGAATGGGCTGGTGCAGGACGGGAAACCGAGCTTCATTTTCCCAGTTAGATTCAGGTTTAGATACGGGATTTAAACTCGGCCCTCACTCTTGCTAAGCGGCTACTGCACCACTGCAGCTGCTCCAGCCGTTTTTTTCCTTTCAGTTATCAAGGTAGAATCTTAGGTTTTTGCCCAAGCCTAGCCTCCGACCAAGATCCTTCTTACCTACAACCTCATGTGTGGCCACCCTACTTAGTTGAGTTGGGGATCTCATTAATTTTGAGGCTAGACTCAAACCATGATTCTCCTGGTCTCTGCCTCCCAAGTAGCTGGGATTTCAGCAGGCACCACTGGGTCTGGCCTTGAGCTTTATGACATTGCTGTCCAGAATGGTGTGTGTAAATCTGATATTCTTCCCTTTAGCCTTGCTGGCATGAGACAGCTGGGGTTCTAGCCCCGCCTTCTGTGCATTGAGCTGGGTCCTCCTGAAACAGGGCTGTCGGCTGCTGAGGACCTGCCAGGGGCCACACTGTGACTCCAGCCTCTGGGCCCAGGCCTCCGATTTGCCTCTTTCCTGTTGTGTGACATTGGCCGTGCAGCAAGCACTGGTCCAGAGGCGTCCACCGTGGCACAGCCCATGTGCTTCTCCAGTGCGCCAAGTGAATGGACCACTCTCCCCTGATCACATGGCACCTTGTATGGCCGAAGGACAGGTAGCAGCTCAGGGTGATTAGATCGTCCTTAGTAGACATTACAGTGACTATAAAATTAGTTTATTCAGTTTTTCTAGTATGTAAGGTAGTGTTGTTTTTTTCTTCTGACAGTTACAGGGCATTGAGCTGAGGGCCTTGTGCTTGCTAGACAGGCACTCTATTCCTTATGCACCATTACCATTCTCTGACAAGTTGTCTTTATGTGCCTTAGTGTGTGTGTGTGTGTGTGTGCGCGTGTGTGCATGTGCGTGCGCGTGTGCGTGTGCACACGCGCACACACACAGCTGGTCCTGGGGCTTGAACACAGGGCCTGGTTGCTGTCCCTGAGCTTTTGTGCTCAAGGCCATCGCTGAACGATTGAGCCACAGCTCTGCTTCCTGCTTTTTGTGAGTTAATTGCAGATAGAGTCTCATGGACTTTGCTGCCTGGGCTGGCTTTGAACTGTGACCCTCTGATTTCAGCATTCTGATTAGCTAAGCACTGATGAGCCACAAGTTATCTGTTAACAAAGGGTTTTCTTTGTGTGTGTGGCAGGGGAGGAGTTTTCTCTTTTTCTTCTCTCTATTTGGTACTGGGTGTGGAACCCAGGACTTCATACTTGCTAGGTGAGTCCCTTGCCACTGAGCTGTGAGTGTGTGTCTTCCCCTTGTTATCATATGTAGATGGGATAAGTTCCATAACTCAGGTAATTGAGTGCCTTTCTTTCTGGACAGTGTCACCTCTTCCCCCTTTTTAAAAATTTTATTCTTGTAAAGATTCTGTACAGAGAGGTTACAGGTATGTCAGTAAGGTAATGAGTACATTTGTTTTTTTTTGGTCCGGTCGTGGGGCCTGAACTCTGGGCCTGGATGCTGTCCCTCAGCTCTTCAGCTCAAGGATAGCGCTCTACCAATTGAGCCACAGCGCCACTTCTGGTTTTTTCTTTTTTGCTTATGTGGTGCTGAGGAATCGAACCCAGGGCCTCATGCATGCAAGGCAAGCGCTCTACCACTGAGCCGCCTTCCCAGCCCATGAGTACATTTCTTATTGGGCATCTGTTTTTCTCCCACTATCCCTTCCTTCCCCCACTCCCCTCCTCCCCAAGTTGTAAGGTTCGTTTCCACCATAGTATCTTGTGAGTCTCACTGTTGAAGTGATTATCCTGTGACCTTGTTTCAGCATTTCGACAAAGGATTTCAGTAGACAACCTATGAACCAAGATAATCCTGGGTCCAGAAACAGATGTTGTGCACATGTGCATTTTTTTTTTGTCGGTCATGGGGCTTGCACTCTGGGCTTGGGTGCTGTCCCTGTGCTCTTCAGCTCAAGGCGAGCTCTCTACCACTTGAGCCACAGCGTCACTTCCAGTTTTCTAGTGGTTTATTGGTGATAAGAGTCTCATGGACTTTCCTGCCTAGGCTGGCTTTGAACCACGATCCTCAGATCTCAGCCTGAGTAGCTAGGATTACAGGCGTGAGCTACTGGGGCTTATTTATTTTTGTGCAGGTACTAGGGCTTGAACTCAGGGCCTTGTGGGGTCATCCCAGGTACTCACCATCCACATCTGGTGACAGAGCGAGTCACAGACTGGGAGATAAGAGTCTCAGGGACTTTCCTGTCCAGGCTGGATTTGAACTGCGATCCTCAGATCTCAGCCTCCTGAATAGAATACAGGCCTGAGACATAAGTGCCTGGCAGCTCTCTAGTTCAAAACTGGTGCTTTATCATGTGAGCTACACCTCCACTTCTAGCTTTTTGCTGGTGGAAACAAGAGTCATGGATTTGTTTGTGCATCTTGATTTCTGTTACAGAAGCACCGTAGAACAGAAGGGAAGTAGGCCACACCTTGTTTGAGTAGTAGCGTGAAAGTTAAATCCAGGTGGACCTAGTGGGGCCACAGAGTGACCTGTAGACTAATAACTGGATGTGGGCACCTGGGAAGGAGGTAGGGTTTTCTAGTAAACATTAGATAGTGCGGGCGCTTAATCAGTCATCAGCTGCTAGGTAAACATCCAGCTGAAGTGAGTACAACAGACACCATGAGATTGGAGACTGGAAGCCGGCTGTGTAGCTAACAGTGAGGCAGTGCCCATTTGTTTACTTTAGGTTTACACTGCTGGGCTCAGACCCAGGCCTTGCACCTGCTTAAAGTTCATGCATTAAATAATTTCCCCTCACAGCATACAAAAACAAGTTACTAGAATTCCCACTGTTCCATGCTTTTTAGAAATTTCCACAAATTGAAGTGTACCTGAAAATACATGTTATAGGAACAGGTAGCATACTGCTATTTGCATCTTTTTTTTTTTTTTTTGGCAGTTGTAGGGCTTGAACTCTGAGCCTGGGTGCTGTCTCTGAGTTCTTCGTCTCAACTTGCGTACTACACTTGAGCCATAGCGCCACTTCTGGTTTTCTGGTGGTTAACTGGAGATAAAAGTCATGGACTTTTCTGCCTGGGCTGACTTTGAATCTTGATCCTCAGATTCCAGCCTCCTGAGTATCTAGAGTTACAGGCGTGAACCACCAGTGCCTGGCTTACAGTTGTACATTTTACAGTCTGATGTTTTTGTCTTCATAAAACACCAGGTGCCGTGTTGGCAAATTTCCTTGCTTTTCCTACCAATAAATTAAAGGGAGGCGTCCAAAAAAAGTGGGCTTTTCTAGTAACCACTTGGGCTCAGGCACCTTTGCACTTGAAAAATCATATCCTTCCTGGACAGCTCATACCTGAGGAAACAGGCGGTAGTCATGGGCTAACAGTGGGTGAACTTGGCTGAGCGGAGGGAGGGATCAAACCAGCCCCGGCCCTTTCTCCCCAAACCTAGAGCTGAGCTTCCTGCCTCTGCATTTCTTTGAAAAGTAACTCATTTCTTTTTCTTTCTTTTTTTTTTGGGGGGGGGGGTTCAGTCTTGGGGACTGAACTCTGGGCCTGGGCGCTGTCCCTCAGCTCTTCAGCTCAAGGCTAGTGTTCTACCACTTGAGCCACAGCGCCACTTCCGGCTTTTTTCTTTTTGCTTATGTGGTGCTGAGGAATCGAACTCAGGGCCTCAGGCATGCAAGGCAAGCGCTCTACCACTGAGCCACCTTCCCAGCCCAGAGTAACTCATTTCTTTGAAAAATAACTCACTCTGCTTAGTGACAACCACCAGTTAACTTGGTAATGGGTTCCTATAAAAAGCAATACAGAGGGGCTGGGAAGGTGGCTCAGTGGTAGACCGCTTGCCTTGCATGCATGAGGCCCTGGGTTCGATTCCACAGCACCACATAAGCAAAAAGAAAAAAGCCGGAAGTGGCGCTGTGGCTCAAGTGGTAGAGTGCTAGCCTTGAGCTGAAGAGCTGAGGGACAGCGCCCAGGCCCAGAGTTCAGGCCCCACGACTGAACCTCCCCCCCCCCCCCCCCCCCCCAAAAAAAAATACAGAAAAGCTGCAAAGGTGAATTTTACAGGCTTTCAGGGATATTGTGCTCTTGAGAGTTAGAACTCTGCTGAATTTGGTGGCTCACATCTGTGAATTTGGTGGCTCACATCTGTGATCCTGATGCTTGGGAGGCTGAGATGGGGATGGCATGCTCAGGCCAGTCTGGGCCCAGGTCAAGGTCAAGTTTAAAGCATTTAAAAATGTTTAATGGTGCATTATTACATCTCCTAATTCTAAGAGTGTGTTTAACACTTAGGCTTGGGTAGAGGATGGGTCACATGGTCCTCTGATAGGACATACTGTGCTTGAGCTTAGACAAATGACTGGGAAGTGGCAGAGACTCAAGCTTTTATTAGTTTATTTGTCTCTTGAGTCAGGTCTCACTACTACGTAGGGCAGGCTGGTCTTGAACTTGGGTTCTTCTTATTTCAGTCTCACAAATGCTGGAATTATAGGTGTGTGCTACCATGTCTAGTTTGACAGGTTTTTTTCTTCTAAAAATTGAGCGTAAAGGCCGGGCCATGGTGGCTCACGCCTGTAATTCTAGCTATTCGGGAGGCTGAGATCTGAGGATTGTGGTTCAAAGCCAGCCTAGGCAGAAAAGTCCCTGTGAGAATCATCTCCAATAAACTCAAAAAAGCTGGAAGTGGCACTGTGGCTCAAGTGATAGAGCACTAGCTTTGAGCACAGAGAGGCTGAGGGACAGCCCCTATGCCTTGAGTTCAAGCCCCAGGATTGGAAAAACAAAACAAAAATTGAGTGCAAGACAAAAGGAATGAGTCTCTGGAGACTGCAGGCTTCGGGAACATCTGTATGCTATGAAGGAGTGGAAGAGGGCTGGTCTCCTGATGGAGAGGGGAGCTGTGACTAGTGATGCCAGGGCTGGAGGCTGCGTCGAGGTGGGTGGAGGAGCAGGCTCATTATGTGCTGCCGCAGGTGCTCTTGGGAGTGGAAGGGCGGGCGGGTTACATGAGATGACCAGATGTGAGTGAGTCCATGTGTCCAACTGTTCCTCTTGGCCTCTTCAGGCTCCTGGGTAGAATTGCACTTTAGCAATAATGGGAACGGGAGCAGTGTTCCAGCCTCAGTTTCTATTTATAATGGTGACATGGAAAAAATTCTTCTGGATGCCCAGCATGAATCTGGACGAAGTAGCTCCAAGAGTTCTCACTGTGACAGGTAGGTTTCCACAGGTGTGTGCATGACAGTGCTGGTGCCCTGGGGTGGGAGTTGTTGGGCTGAGCAGTGGCACGCGCACGGACATGGGCAGCTTGGAGGGGTCTGGGCTTCTGCACCTGAGGGTGCATTGGGAGAGCCTCCTGCAGCCATCCTTATAAAAGGAACTTTGCCATCAGGTGCCTGAAAAGTGCCTGGCAAAGCTAGGAACAGACAGGTTAGCGTTACAGAGTTGGGCCCTCCTGCCCCCGGGTCTGGAGTTTCACTCTCACCCTCTTTTGCTTGTGTCAGAGGGCTCCTGGTTAGCAGCAGCTAGGAAGAATTCAAGGTTTGTCAGGGGTCTCAAGGGTGGAGCTGACTGCAGCCTCTCCCTGAGGCTGAGCCACCAGCCTTGTCTGCCAGAAGAGTCTGTTTGGTTCTGTTCTGGTGGTAGCCAGGAGGGAACCAGGCACTGGCAGGTACCCCTGTCCTGGCCAGGCAATAGTTCCTACTTTGGGGTTTGGGGATATCTGTTTCAGTGATGGTCCTCACATAGTTTTTCTGTTCTCCCCTTTTTTCCACTTCATCACCAAGCCCACCTCGCTCGCAGACACCACAGGATACCACCAGGGTTTCTGAAGTGGACACACACAGCATTGGGGAAAAAAACAGCTCTCAGGTAAGCTGAGGGGCCGTGCAGGGGCAGGTGAGTTGTCTTGACAGCAGGTAGCTGGCTTGTGTGGTGGGTCTCATGCCTACAGCCAGGAGAAGCTGGGATGGCCTGTGAAGCGGTAGCTGTCTTCTATGGCCATAGCTGGGCAGTGAGTGCGAGTCGGCTTCCACCGACATAGCGGCTCAGGACCCATTTCCTTTTTTTTGGTCACTTGTGGGGCTGGAACTCAAGGCCTGGGCGCTGTCCCTGAGTTCTTTGCTCAAGGCTAGTGTTCTACCACTTTGAACCAAACTTCACTTCTGATTTTCTGATGGTTAATTGGAGATGAGCCCCATGGACTTTTCTGCCTGGGCTGGCTTTGAACTGTATTCCTTAGATCAGCTCAGTCTCCCAAGTAGCTAGGATTATAGATTAGATATGATCCACCAGGCTTATCTCTCTTTTTTTTTTGGTCATGTCCCTGAGCTCTTTAGCTCAAGGTGAGTGCTCTACCACCTGAGCCACAGCACCACTTCTGGTTTTCTGATGGTTAATCGGAGAAAAGAGTCTCACAGACTTTCCTGCCTGGGCTGGCTTTGAACTGCCATCCTCAGATCTCAGCCTCCTGAGTAGTTAGGATGACAGGCGTGAGCCACTGGCGCCCGGCTTTACCTAAAATTGTGATAAGCGTTTCTTCTCCCTCAGTCTGTCAGCATCTTTTCACCTTGCTTGGGATACAGTATTTGTGGATCTGGCCTTGCCTATCTTGAGCTGTTCTGGATTAATGTTTTCTTCCACTCTAACCGTAGTCACCGCCCTTCTTGGAGGCTCTCAAGGGTGCTGTATGCGCACTGTCCTCAGGGAGGAGCCCCCTGGGGCTCTGTCGTGGACAGGTCTGAGGTGCAGGCGCGTGTCTCTGGGCTCTGCCTTCCGCTTACTGACCTCATGTTGTCCGGTGTGATGTGACAGGCTGATCTGTGTAATATTTGCTCTTAGTCCGAGGAAGATTATATTGAGAGAAGGAGAGAAGTTGAAAGCATCTTGAAGAAAAACTCAGATTGGATATGGGACTGGTCGAGCCGGCCAGAAAATATCCCCCCAAAGTAAGTCTTGTGGGATGTGGGTGGGTGCTTCTCTGGACAGGACAGTGTCGGACACGCATCTCTGACCATTTCCCCTAGGGAGTTCCTTTTTAAGCACCCGAAGCGCACAGCTACGCTCAGCATGAGGAACACCAGCGTCATGAAGAAAGGGGGCATATTCTCAGCTGAGTTTCTCAAGGTCTTCCTTCCTTCTCTGCTGCTCTCTCATCTGCTGGCCATCGGATTGGGGTAGGTGACATGGCCGGTGGGCTTTTCCCTCTGGTCCTCTGTGGTGAGTGCACTGATGGTCAGCGGCTTGCCACGCCCCCAGCAGGACAGGGTCTGCTCACCTCAGCGGGTCTCCACCTCCTTGGAGTCCTTGTAGCTGTAGTGTGAGGCTGAGCGAGTGCACCTGTGGATTAAGCCAGAGCAGGAAACGAGGGGGGAACAGAGCCACTGGGCTTCGAGGTCCTCTGCAGCCTCTGTGCTGGGGTGGCTTCACGGGGCCCTGCAGCGTACAGCACTGGGTAGGAGGCCTGTGTGGCTTTCCAGCTAGGTTGGCCAGGGCATGTGTTGGAGGCCTAGGGACAGGATGGAAAGGCCTGCAGATGGCTCAGTTGTCCCTGTCCCCAGACACTGTTGGTGTGGCCCAGCAGACCAGGTCTACTTTTTTTTTGTCTGTTATGAGGCTTGAACTCTGGGCCTGGGCGCTGTCCCTCAGCTCTTGAGCTCAAGCTAGTATTCTACCACTTGAGCCATAGCACCACTTCTGGTTTTTCTGTTTAATGTGGTGCCAAAGAATTGAACCCAGAACCTTATGCATGTGAGGCAAGCACTCTACCACTGAGCCACCTTCCCAGCCCCCCCCAACCTGCTTTTTAATGATACTGGGAGCCAAGTGCACACAGCAGATTTGCCTGAGTCCTGCCCCAGCTGCTATCCCTTTGTCTGCTAGAACATAAGTGATGTTTCAAAAGTTTTGGTAATACAAGTTATGTATCAGCAATTTGTGCAAGAGGTCTGCAAGGGGCAGCCCCCATTGACACTGGCAGGCAGGCTGCCCAGGTCCGGGGTGCATGTACTAACTGCGCCCCCTTTCCGCTAGGATCTACATTGGAAGGCGCTTGACCCCCTCCACCAGCACCTTCTGATGGAGCGCAGCGCCGACCTGCTCGCAGTGGGGATAGCGTCGGAGCCGGCCCAGCTGGAGAGCCCTCGTGGTCTGAGGGTGGCTGCACCACTTGTGTTTGTTCTGTAAACGCGGCTTTCCTAACTTGGTAGATGGAAGAGCAGACGTTGAACTCATGCTGACCTGTCACACTACACTGGGATCAATGGACAAGCATGTCAGACGGATGCTTACTGTAAACTTTGGTAGTAAGTTTCCTTTGGGTATTAGGTATAAATAGTATAAATAATTGTAATGAACAAGTCATGATGTATACACTATTTAAAAACTATCTGTAACCTTAATTCAGCTGATACACTTTATATTTCAAAAGAATGAATAACGTTGATAGTGAACTCACTACATTAAGAAGTTTGTCTAAAAGGAATATTGTGGCCTTATAATTAAACTATGATAGAAAGTACGATGTATGCAATTGAAGTGAAAGCTGGTTGTCTATAAAGAACACTTGACCCTGTGACCCATGGAGTACAAAATAGCAGCAAGGGATGTGTGCAGACGCCCGAGCAGTCTGCTTCTTGCAGCGAGACTCCGGCCTGGCGGCCAGCCAGCCGCCCCTCCACATTCAGCTGTCTGTTAGGTGCAGCATGAATCCCTTGTGTGCAAGTTTTGCGTGCTTTTAGCAGTCAGCTTTACTGTAAGCAAATGTTTCCTTTGAAGGACTGGACATAGTAAAACCATGAATCTGCCAAATCTTTCAGCGAATATTGAAATGAGTTAATAAAAACAAATAAAAAAGCTTCTATTCAACCCGGCCTATTGTGCGTTCATCCTTTTTCTATAGCATGATTTCCTCCCTAATGTGCTGGATCTAGGACTTAGTCCCTGTACTTTTTTGCCCAAGGCCAGTGCTCTACCACTTGAGTCACAACTCCACTCCAGCTTTTTTTTTTTTTTTTTGTCGTGGGGCTTGAACTCGGCTTGGGCGCTGTCCTTGCACTCTTCAGCTCAAGGTGAGTGTTCTACCACTTGAGCCACAGCACCACTTCGGGTTTTCTAGTGGTTTACTGGAGATAAGAGTCTCATGGACTTTCCTGCTCAGGCTGGCTTTGAACTGCGATCCTCAGATCTCAGCTTCCTGAGTAGCTAGGATTACAGGCGTGAGCCACCAGTGCCCAGCCACTCCAGCTTTTTTGGTAGTTGGAGATAAAAGTCTCATGATTTTTCTGCCCCAGCTGGCTCTGAACTGTGATCCTCAGATCTCAGCTCTCCTGAGTAGCAAGGATTACAGACTTGAGCTACCAGTACCTGGCCAAAGCATTATTTTTTTAATGGCTGCCTCTTTGATAGCTGTCTATATCCTGTTTAATCTTTCACAGTTAATTCAGTGTTAGAATAAGCAGCATGCTGTAAGAGTCTTGTTTATTAGTGATGAACTTGAAAGCGCTGGCTTGTGGCCATTTCATGTGGAGAGGGCTAGAGTGGCGGCAGCATTGTGCACAGCTGGTGTTTTATCACTTCATCCATGCCTCCTGCCCAGTGTTTGGAAGACTCCTGCCCAGGCTGGCTCTGAGTAGCTGGGGTTAGTCTGAGGTCACTGTGCCTGTGCCCTCCCCTGTCATCAGGAGACCTGGGAGGCTGAGAAGGAGAGGATTGGAATTCTGTGGCCGTCCATGGCAGAAAGGTTAGAAAGTGTGTGACTCCTTCTGAACTCCAAGCTGGGTACACTTTATTCCCAAAAGAGCACCCAAAGTGGGTGCACGTTATTCCCAAGCTATGTGGGAGGCTGAGACCGGAAGGCTTGTGGTACCAGGCTAACACACGAAGAGAGGCTGCAAGACTCCTATCTCCACAGAAAGGAAGCTCGATGTGGTGGTGTGCCTGTAATCCTAACCATGCTGGGAAGTGAGACCCTGTTCTAAAATAACCACCGAAAAACGGCCAGAGGCATGGCTCGACGGTGTGCCCACGGAGCAAGAGGCCTTGAGTTCAAATCTCTTGTAATGCAAAGAAAAGAAAAACTGGAGGGCGCATTGAGTCTCCCTGGGCAAGTGAGTTCCTTGTGGTTTTACAGCAAACTTGTTTTTAGACCAGAACGGACTGCTTGTTCTGTTGGGTTTGGGTGGTATTGTGCCGCTGAGAGACCACGCGAGAAAGCATCGCTCGGGATCCCCTGACCAAGTCCTGCCAGGCAGCTGAGGTGCCTGACAAAGCCAGCGCTTGGCCTTCCTACCACCCTCACACTGGGGGGCTGCTGAAGGCGACCCCGTCACTCAGGGCTTCAGATGCCCACGAGACACCACAGTACACGCGGCTCATTTAAAACAGGCAAGCCTGATGTCCTTTCTGCATTTACCCGTGCGCAGACGTCCGCGTGCACACGACGCCGGGGGCCCAAGTCCCCGCACCTCCTGCTACTCAGACCTGCTTACACTCGCTGCCAGGAAACTGCAGATAGCTGCATTCTGTGATAAGGGACCTGTGTGCTGGGTGCAGACACCTTTGTGTCTTCCCCCCCCCCCCCCCAACATTGTTGATCTGGAGTTGGAAGGCCCCTCAGCCTGCAGGGGGAACGACGGCTGGAGGGAGCAGCCTTTCTGGACAGCAAGTCACCATTCTTTATCCACCGAATAAGTCTTTAATAAGACACCAAAGCATTGCATCGTTCCAATTTTTTCTTGCCGTTCTTGCTGTGCTTGCTTTAGGCAGGTACTCTACCATGTGAGCCACATCTTCAACCCTTCTTGCTCTACTTAATTTCTGAGATTGGATTTTACTTTTTGCTGGGTCTAGACTGATCCTGTTTACATTTGCTGCCCCAGCTGATGAGGGTGTGTAGCATTGAGAATGGGGTCTCACACACCTTTTGCACAGGATGGCCTAGAAATGTAATCCTTTTGATCTCTGCTCCAAATAGCTAGGATTACAGGTATGAGCCACTGGTGCCCAACCCAAAGAATTGTGATTTGACATGAGGCCACTACTTGTGTATGTAATGTCTTGAGGTAGGAGACTGGCTCAGCAAGCTGACATAGTCTCAAAGGGAAGGAGTGGACAAACTAACAGTGATTTCCAGGTTATTTAAAACTGAGATAAAAGGGGGCGGGCACTGGTGGCTCACACCTGTCATCCTAGCTGCTCTGGAAGCTGAGGTCAGAGGGCCTCAGTTCAAAGCCAGTCCAGGCAGAAAAGACCTTGAGACCCCCAATTAACTAGCAAAAACCTTAAGTGGAACTGTGACTCAAGTGGTAAGAGTACCAGCCTTGGGCAAAAAGCTACCAGAGACTTAATGCTGGCCCTGAGTTCAGGCCTCTGCTTGAAAACTGCAAGTGAAGGTCCAGGGGAGAGGAGAGAGCTGTGTCCATCCTGAAGAATTCCCTGAGTTGCCAGGAGCGAGGCTGTGGGCATGGTGGTGAGACAATGATTTCCAGCACAGATAGGTGCTCTTGTTTTGCGGAACTCAATGCAGGAGGGGATAGAAAACCTGCGTTAGTAAGCCACAAAACCGAAAGGAACTTCACTGGCTTCCTTTGAGATGTAGACTACAGGGAGAATAACAGCATAGAAAAAGAATGGTAGACAACACCTGCTTTCTGATCTAACACGGAAGGCCACATCATCTAATGTTTGCTAAATGCATAATGGCACTTGAATCATGAAAAAATCCTAAGTTGGGGGGGGGGGGGTCCTATAAAACAGCTGTCCATATTCTTCAAAGTGTCAAGGACATGAAAGAGAAACCCTAGACAAGAAGACCCAGGAGCCGGGTAAGATGAAAGCCAGAGGGCAGTTAAAACTGTACTCAAACTTGGTCTCACGCCTTGTTGGGTTATATGATGGAAGATGTGCAGGAGCCCTCAATGCTCTTCTAGGCCTGTTAGAGCCTCCTGGTGTTTTTTGTGTGTCTGTCACTGGTGGGGGTTGAATTCAGGGCCTGAGCTCTCACGCAAGGTGAGTGCTCTACCACTGTGCACTACAGCTCCACTTTTTTTTTTTTTCCCTTGTAGTTAATTGGAGTTGAGAGTCTCACGGGCTTTCTTGCCCAGTATGGCTGTAAGTCACAAACCTCATATATCAGCCTCCAGAGTAGCTAGGGTTACAGGTGTGAGCTGCCAGTGCCCAGCCAGCTGGTGGTTTTTAATACTGACTCCTTCTATTCCTGGCCCTGTTAGAGATGCAGATTCCCAGGAGCTCACAGAGCTAGAGCTGCACACTATGGGGAGAAGCAAGGCCTGCCATGTGGGGAACTGAGATAGGCCTGGCCGCAGGATAACAGCTTTGGGTAGGAATGGGAGAGATGAAGTACACATCTGTGTCTATACAAGGTTCAAAGGCAGGGGCAGGATTTCGCTGTGCTATATTGGTATTGCTAATTTAAAACTTTATTATAAAGTACCTTTCTGATAGAACCATAGAAGTACATGCTGCACTTGGGTATTTAGGTTTTTGAGAATAAATATCTTACTAGAACAGGCACATTTGCAGGGCACTGGTGGCTCATACCTGTATCATGGTTCAAAGCCAGCCTGGCTAGGCATGTCTGTGACACTTATCTTCAGTTAACCATCAAAAAGCAAGAGGTGGAACTGGGTTCAAGTGGTAGAGCACTACTAGACGTGAGCACAAAAACTCAGGGACAGTGCCCAGGCCCTGAGTGCAAGCCCCAGGACTGGCACAAAAAAAAAACAACAAAAAAAAAACCCCCTACTAATTTTACAGGACTCTCCCACTTGTCCCATGGCTTTTCTCAAGTTTCCTCTGAGGGAAACTTTGGAGGGGTTGTCTACGTCATTCTCATCTCTTTTTTTTTTTGCCAATCCTGGGGCTTGAGCTCAGGGCCTGGGCGCTGTCCCTGAGCTTCTTTTGCCCAAAGCTAGCACTCTACCACTTGAGCCACAGCACCACTTCTGGCTTTTTCTGTGTATGTGGAACTGAGGAATGGAACCCAGGGCTTCATGCATGCCAGGCAAGCACTCTACCACTGAGCCGCCTTCCCATCCCGATCATCTTAAAAGCTATGATGGAAAGTATTCTGATGATGAAATCTGGACACACAGCGGTTTCAGTTTTTGGCAGGGTACTAGGACTGAACTCAGGACCTGGTGCTCTCGCTTTGCTTACACCTGGTGCTCTACTACTTGAGCCATGACTTCAGTCCTTGGTCCCATAACTGACTGAGGGGTTTTGTTGGCCCTGTGGAGATGCTGTGTGTGGCACGCTCCTGCCAGGGCTGTAGATGGGGCCAGCCAGGTGTGCAGAGGCGACTGGCAAGCAGGATCTCGCCTCCACTCTCCAGGGGCGCAGATGCCACGTTGAAGTCTGAGCCATCGCCGGTGACCAAATGTGTGCCCCTGGGTTATGGGATGGTCCCACCCACCTGGCCCAGCCAGGTGGCGCTGCGGCACTCAGCTGGGGAAGCTTCTAAGTTACGGAAAGAGTGGGAAAGTTTCCACTTGGCATTCGCCAGTGGACAGAGAGCCTGGTTTCACGGGAAAGACTGGTCATGACCAGTTTACCCATAAGAAGAAAGCTTACCCACTTAAGCTTTCTCTTTAAAAAAAATCCACATCCAGACTTCTTAGCAAATAATTGACAGAATTAACTTCCAAGAACAGATTTCTAACTAACTTGTAACTGAAGAAAAAATGTGAGCATGTAAAGGGCAGATATTTCATAAGCTTGAATGTAAACAAAACTTCCATGCACGTAAACACCTTAACCTTCCCCAGGGTAGGATCAGTCCAGCGGACATAAAGGGAAGAGCGCGCAGAACTTCCTACTTCTCAGAACGGATGTCAGGCTGCACTGTA